AAAGTTCTGGTTGACCTGTCGAAAACGAAGAGAAGCATTGCAGTTTGAGAATAAAGCGAATAAAGCGTGACATGAAAAACTGTCACACAACACTTTTGGGTAGAAGCTTACCTCAGCCTCTCTGGCGAAGTGTTTCAGAGTGGCAGAGTCCGTGACTGGTGGTGGTTCCTCTGGGGCTTCTTCTGCTGTGAGAAACTACAAATTTAAACAATAAAATGAAAAACGATGCCTGGAACAGTCTCCGTCAAACTACAGAAGAGAAATGACATTCAGTTAGGGTATGGCACATTTACAAACCTTTCAATAAACCTTTGATAGACAAGCTAACAATAAACTGGTATTATTAGCGTGGTTAATACGAGAATGTATTTTCTGTAGCTTATCGTAGTAATGAAACACTGTCTTGGAGATAGGAGCGGGCTTTTCAATAAACCTTTGATAAACAAGCTAACAATAAACTGGTATTATTAGCGTGGTTAATACGAGAATGTATTTTCTGTAGCTTATCGTAGTAATGAAACACTGTCTTGGAGATAGGAGCGGGCTTTTCAATAAACCTTTGATAAACAAGCTAACAATAAACTGGTATTATTAGCGTGGTTAATACGAGAATGTATTTTCTGTAGCTTATCGTAGTAATGAAACACTGTCTTGGAGATAGGAGCGGGCTTTTCTGTATGATATTGTAAAAGAGTCAGTTAAAATAAAACTCCCGTAAAATTCTCGCGAAACACGGTAAATTCTAAACAAAGACGCGGTAGCTAGATGGTGGATGCATTGGATTGGAGATCGAAGGGTCCTGGTTTGAGCATTGCCCGCGATCATTGTATGATGTTCTTAGCTAGGACATGAATGGCTGAGGTACTGGTTCAGTGGTGTGATACCCTCAGCACGTGTGAAAGACTTCACAATTCTATGAACCTATGAAACAGTTGACTCGCATTGGCGAGTGCATCCAGTATATGCCATCAATGTGGTTTGTGCTATCCCAGTAAACAGTGTTGCAAACATTACCTTATTCAGAGCAACGTGCATCTGGTCAATTAAAAACACATACAACTCGCTGAGGAATGCTTGTAGTTTTTCCTTGTCTGTAAAAGCTGTGGTGTTTAAATACTTCTCTCGCACAATCTTTATGACACTGTTCTGTTGATCAAAGTTAAACGTCTGTTAACTTAGTGCACTAGTGAACTTGCACATTTATAGACGGTTTTTGAGTAAAAAGTTTACTCATTAGAATCACAAAACCAGGTAGGTTGTAATTGTTTAATAAAAAGATATTATCTCTCCTTTCTCCTTGGTGGAGGCACTTTTCATCCAGTTCCTAGTGCATACTTCTTCGTCCATTAGTACTTTATAGCATAGCACTCCAATTCAATCGCAAATTACGATTATTCTCAAAGCTGGAGTTGAAGCCATCTTCAACCCTTTTACATGTACTTAAACCTAGACATTACTAGATAGATAGGCCTAAAGAAAATGGCGATATCGGAAACACTAAACAAATAAAACAAAACAAATGTAGAGACCAAAACACACTTAATGCATGTAGGTATAATCGATATCGTTTGTGTTACCTTTAACTGTTCTTTAAAAGCGAAATATTTTCCGGATGTATTCAGTTCGTACAGAAACTTCTGTCTCCTACAAAAAAAGGACCAAAGCTTTATTTTCCTCTAGTTCAAAATCATGACCGCGGGATAAGGATCAAAGTAATGATTGCGCGAGAGGATAGCGCGAGTTTTCCGGACCGCCTATTGAGTAGATTATAGCAAAACCAATGCATTTGAGGATTACTTTCGAAAATCAATTGAAAATTGCTCTGAACTGGATGTTACAGGACCAAAGTACTTGCAACCTAAAAACTGCCGATACAAAAAGAGTAAACATAACCAGCCTGCCTGAAACAAGTTTAAAGAGAAGAGGTAGACGATGATAAAATCTTCAGCCAAATTCTCCGAACTCACACAGATTAAAATACATGTAGCATTTGAAAGAGGAAATCTCTTTCTGACTGTTAAAATACATATTACAACTACAACGAGATTTAATTTTTTTTTAAACCTTGTTCCTCATTTTTCGAAAAAAAGCAAAAATATTCACCTCTGATCCATGGCATCATTTGACTGTGGTAGACTCCCCTTCAACAAATCATCGCCGTACATTTGCCTGCAACAAGTAACATAAGATATTGCTGAAGAAAATTTATCGTGCAACGTTCGTAAGATGCCGAAAGGTTTCGCCTCGTCCTTTTATCGGCGAATCAAATTCGAAAGCTTAAGGTGTCTTTAAGATGATTGGGTAATTTGGCTTTTCGGTAAGTTGTCGTGTGTGTTCGCGTTATGTTTTGATCGATAATTTGGTTTTGTGAACCGGGTTGATGATGCAAAGAGTTTTTAAAGCAGATGTTTTGAGCGTTTAGCTCTTCATCAGAGCGAATAGAGGAACTGTGGGTTGTGTAGGGTTTATACACAGAAAAATAGAGCTTAGCTATTTCTGGGGACATGGTGAAGAGAAAACAAAAAAATATTATAGTTGCATGAACAGCGTTCATTGATACCGTAGGGATTAAGAGTGCCGAATTAGAAGACGAACTTCTTAGATGTAGCCGGGACGGTCCACACACTGTCGTATATTACTTAGAATAGGCTACTTTAATTCAACGCTCCCCAGCTGTATTAGAAAAAAAGCACTTTCTTTTGTGACCTGCTTGGACGGCAAGACAAGGAAAGGAAGTATAAGTGTAACTTTTCGTCTAGCAGATGAAATTCAAAACCTCGTGCACGAATTCAAGCAATCGAAAATACAAAAATACTACTGATTTTTTTTTAAGCATAGTAATGACAAACCTGAATTCCTCAAGCAGGGAATTTGCAACAGCGGTCAGCTGACCGTGAAAATCTTCTACAGCCTGTAACAAAACAGATCAATAAAAAATTTCTTCATCGAAGTTTCACGATAAATAAAACGGTTTTTTTTTTTTTCATCTGCTTTGTATGTCACACGTAACAAATGATGTTACTTTTCCAGTGCACTGCGTTCCTTATCTTGGTACATGTAACTCACCGATTTTGCTGCAATAAGTTATAAACATAATCTTAAAAACGGCGCCTAGGGGCTAAAAAGGCGCCTGTCAACTTCAGCGTTCGCAAAGATAAATGAGCTCAATCATATGCTACCTTTTTGGAGCCTCCTGTTTTCCGAGCAAAGACTGGACGTGGAGGAATGTATTCTGCAACTCTGTAAGCGGGGAAATAAATATGAATTAAACAAAGCAAAAGTCAAATTGAAAATGTTTTAAAACTAGCAATTGGTTAACATGTCAGCGTTTGTTCCTCGGGATATGAAGCACGAGGTAAGTTTGGAGAGCAGGAGAGAAGCGTAAGAGTTGCTCGAGGCGTAGTTGGGACAACTATAGCCTCTTAAGCAAGGTAAGGATGACAGAAATATTTCGAAGTAAAAGTGACACTAAAAAGAAATACTAAATTTGCTATAAAGAAGGAAAAAAAAGTCAGAATCCCTCGGGTATATGCCACTTGCGCAATGTTGAATTTTTGTTCATTCGTAGCGTTGCGTTGAAAATTCTGAAAGTTGTCAGATTCAAAGCAAAATCTTCTGTTGCACAGCACTTCAAGGACATGACAACGCTACGGGCCAAAGAGTGGTCCGAAAGTGGCGTATCACCATTAAAGTCAGCAAACCCAGTTGTCGTTTTCTAGCCATAATTCGTATCCCGTTTAGGAATCGTACTATTGTTCACTCGAAAGCTCTTTTCGTCACTTTTAAGGCTCCTATGCCCATTTCTTTCCAGAAAGAGTAACCTACAAATACACTTTTCATTTTGAGTTCCTAAAGGTCTCGGTCTCTCTCAATCGGGATAGAAAGGCAAAACCACATCGTAAAATCTGAAAACTCGCGGTCAAACTGAAGGGGAACTTTGCAGTCAAACGCGGAGGAAAATTTTTGAATCGCGAGGCATTTGTTTGCTGACGTCATAAACTAGCACAACAAGATTATGAAGTACGCTCGCGCATAACCTCGCTCAGGCGTGCACGCAGCCTCGGCGAGCTCTTACCACGGAAATACTGGTAGGGCTTCTCAAAATCGAGTTGCGAAGCTACAGTTACCTGACAACTAATAATTCCCTTTTGAGATGGTCTGCATTTCACTTTTTTATACGTTCGTTTGGTTTTGTTTGTTGGCTTTATTGTCTTCGATTTAGTTTAGTTCTGACATACTTTGTGTTTTTTTAAGATGTTCATAATCGGTTACGAATAGCGTTAGCTAGATGATTCACAAATGAATGTTGAATGTGAAACTGCAAATTTACGAGGAGAAGACACAACGCAACGTATTAAACATAATTCAGTAACAGTTCCGACTTACTTCCTTGCGAGCGAAGATGGCGGCCGTTTCGGAACAAGCGGCTTGTCGAGGACAAGTTCCAAGGTGATAAAAGTTCGTGACTCCAGATATTGCTGTAAATAAAAATGACATAGCTTTGTATCCATTCTGATAATGAATTCATTCGCAAAGACCGTTTTTAACCGTACACATGAGCATATCGAATCGTCTTTCAGATGTTTGTTTTACGCCGTAAGCAAGTTTCTGTTGTTGTCATTCTTACTTCAATTTTTATTCATATTCGGTGTGGATGCGGAGAGACTCAGTGGCCTAAAGATAAGAGCACTGAATTCCAGGTTCCTCTCAGAAATTAAAAAAAAAAAACCAAAAACTAAAAATAAAGGAAATCTAATTATATTTTCTCGTTAGCGTTTGTGGTAAACTTTGCCTTAAGTCTGCATTTCTTTATCAACAGACACTTCTCGGATAAGCGTATGTTCACTCAGCACCGCAAATCAAATCTCACCTGTCCTTCAAGATTCCTGGCTTCGTTACTTTCTCCCTCTGTTGAAACGTCCGGTTTGAGAACAGCAGCTGACGGCTGAATATTTCAAGGAGTCGTGAGTGAAGCACAATATCCCTCAGTTTACCAGGGCCGTAAGGAAAAAAATAGCTTATTTGGAAGTTTCACGAAACATCAAGTTTGAGTTGAGATGTTAGCAGGAAAGGGGGACTTTGCAGCCTTTCTCATAAATCTAGTGGCAGGGGATGGATCTGGGCTTCTAGAAGGCTTCTACAGATTGGCGATCTAAGACTAATTTTTTTCACAACGATTACGAAAGATAATCCCCACAACAAGAAAGTACATGTTCATGGTCAAAAATGACGTCAACAACACCAAAAAGCAACCCCAGTCATGGGAAAAGAGGCACACTGAAAACTGTTCATATTCAGAGATCTTTGTTTGACTGTGGCAATTATTCCAGACCATCCTAGTGTTTGTGTCTTTTGGAAGTCATAATTATTTTTCCATGGCTCAAACATCCCTTGGCTGAAACATCATTTGGCTGAACAAAACTTGAGAAAATTACCAAAGAAAGGGTGTACACTTTGGTGTTGTTAGAAATTCCTGGTGCAGTTCGAAGTCATTAATTGACAGTTGGTAGTTCGGCCCAGCGTCTCACTGCTCTTTATATAGACACAAAAGTAATCGTACCTTTGTTTTCGCATCCGCTTTGCCTTGTTTGGAAGGCGGAGGAGCCTTCAGTGCCATAGCCGAGGCAAGAGTACGGCCCATCCCGTTAGCCACTCTGGCAGCCTCTTCCGCCAGTGTACCTTTTCTCTTGGTTTTATCAAACACTTCATTCTCGATGAAGGGCTTCACAAGATATGCTCCTCTTATTCTGGGTAAGGAAACAAGGCGAAGTTAAGAATGCTGAGTGTCAGAATGCCTTTGTCTTCGAACTCAATAGACACATTTACAAATAAAGCGTAGTTCATTACAGCAAGATAAAAATGCAAGATTCTGGTCGATTTGTTTCGTTTCTCAAGACAAGCACATTTGGGGCTCACTTATCTCCAGGCAAGAATCTTTGTTCGCGAGAAGAGACTTTCTCGCGGAAGAGATTTTCTCGCGAGAAGAGACTTTCTCGCGAGACGAAACTCGCTCCACGAGGGAGACTGTGATGAAGAGGGGGAACAAACCTTTTCACACCGGGGTAGAGTAAAGGCGCCATGTTAACATATGCTACTCCGTGAAATGATATGGGAATTTCCTCTTCTAACGAGCTCTGTTTTCCTTTTGCCTTTGTGGCCTGCTGTATTGGGGTCCTCATTATTTCCAGGGGCCAGTAACGATTCTGCGCGACCTTATTCTGCAAACTAGAGGATGAAAACAAAGAAACAAATAAACGAAAATGAACATATAGACAAATAAACGAGTACACGAAATACAAATGTACGAACACAAGACTCGCTTCCACTCCGCTAGCGGCATTGTATCGATATCTTTTTTATAATAAGACTAGAAATTCTTGCGCGCTCCTTAGTCAAGAACCATTGTCAACAGGTGGTTTCACTTTACAGTGAAACTACTCGGCTGCACCTCATAACTTCATTATATTTTTGACCACTGTTAAATTCATTTCTTTGATCCATACAAGGCTTTGAAGCAGCCATTAGAAGCGCTTCTCTCATGCTCTCCAAACTACCCGCGTACATCGATAACTCGATACACGCACGCTTAGCATGAAACACTTCTGTAATAAATAATGAAACATTGTGGTCAAATTGTTGAATCGAATTCTTTCAAAACTTGAGGGGTAGAGGGTCGCATCCACCCAAAGACCTGGGAGCTCCTCTCCTCCCTTTTACGGCACCCCTGTGAAGGACAATCTCACCTTTCAGCGGCCTCTGCACTTAAGAAGCAGCGTCTTTCTGCGTTCCAAGTAACGTGATTTTTCTCATTTACAGCCTCCTGACGAAAAGCGATATCTTCTCTGTCTCTGAGGTCACCGTCTTCGTCTTCGAACGGCAAAGTTTCGATGTTACTAGAAAGGAAAGTTCAAAGTAAAAATAATTGACATAGACTTGTCTGACCCAAATTATCACCACAAAGCTTCTTCACATCTAGCCAACTGCATCATCACACCAGCCAATCAGAACTCAAACTCAAAGTACAGTTTTTCTAACGCGAGAAAACAGCGCGCGTGACCAGGCACTGGTCGGTTTCAGTTTTGATTCTGATTGGTGGAGAAGTTTGGCACTATTTTTCTAGACCAATCATAGAGCGTGGTTAGGAAAAACTAATGCACACCCGAATTACGTACTGTCGGTGCTCAATTCAAAATTTCTCTTTAAACACTCGCAATTACCTGTCTGTAATGTACAGACAGGATCCGGAGGCACTCGGCGCAGCGGACCACCTTCGCTGAGTTGCAATTTCCTGTCAAGTGAAAAAAGTAAATTCGATAAATAAATAAAGAGGAAGCTTCAGCGAGCCTTCAGAAAGAAAACCACAACGTGAACAATACACTTAGGTATTCCTAGCGCTTTACAATCTGACATAAGTATGAATTTTCTTCGTGCCGTTCTTTAGGTATTTCCTAGGGTGCTGACTGGAGAGTTTGTGTAACAATCAAGAAATCTTTCAGTTCGTGATCATTTCCTTTATTCTCGTGACCTTAAACTGTGATTTATTTTTGATATTGTAAGAGAAATTAAATGTCACTTTGGGAGCCGAGGGCGTTAACGTGCTTGTTTCATAAGATAAAACAAATAGAAACGGTCTTACCCTTTCTCCTGGTGCGCGAAGCAGTCCGTTGGATATCACTACTGTATTTTCTTTCTGCAACGTGAGAAATGTCAGTAAGAACACTCATACGAATATGAATCGAGGTTTCAAATATACAAAGGAAGCAAATGCACATTGCAAAAATTGTTTTAAAACAAGTGTATGTTAAGTATGTATAGTCTGTGGACACTATGACATGAACTATTTCATGTGATAATCCATACCATTTACCGTTAGAGGACTTTGAGAACTAATTAGTCATTGCAGAGAGGATAAATTTAGAACGTTGTTTTCTTTTAACAAAGAATTAAGTATCTTTAAAAATTATTTGAAGTCGCGACTCTTTTCTTTAATGGGTCTTGCTTTTTTTGGCAGCACATAACTGATGGGTCACATAGGGAGATTGTATGCTCACAAACCCCGTTGTTCTGATTGGGGTGCATCTATATGAATTTCCAGCTTTGAATTTCGTTTCTGGCTCTTTTTTCCAAGGTATACAAAGCAATCACCAACAATAAACCCAGAATATTGCGAGGGCACGCGAGAAAAAGGCCCTTATTGCTGTTAACAATAGATGTACAAAAATCAATACTCTGCCTTCTTTTACACGAAACTCTGCGTGTGAAACTTTACACGCACTATGAAGAATTTGCATGTAATTTTTTACACACATTTTCGTTTATTTCTTTTCTCGCGCGTAAAGCGCGCGTGATTTGCTTGTAAATTGCGCGCGACATGGCGGATTTACACGCATTAAACGCGCGTACAATACTGATATTCCTGCAGCCCGCACTATACGGTAATTTAGATTTATTGACTTTACTTTGCAGCCCTCTAGCTGTAAAATTCTTACCTCAGCAGATATTGGGATAGGAAGGCTGACAGTGTGGTTAAACTGCTGAGCCACCTGAATCTGCCAAGAGTCTGGTACAGAAAATGCACTGTCCACATGGACACTCAATAAATTGCTGTCAACCCCAACAAAATAAAAACGAAACAAAAGAAGATAAAAAAGTAATTCATAAATAGATAGCATATATTCTCAACACAATAATGACTAATAATATTGTCAAAAAGTTAAATGAAAAAACAATTGTACATGTAGATGAAATTGGTCATGGTATTTGAACTGAGTAGAGTGCAATTTGTATAGCTAATCACATGATTTCCAGTGCATTTGGAAGAAATAAGCACGAGTAAATTTTTTCAAAGACTAACAAAATTGCATGAGCCCATAGGGCGAGTGCAATTTGTGGTCTTTGAAAACATTTACAAGTGCTTATTTATTCCAAATTGCACGAGAAAATCATGTGATTATCTATTAATAATATACATGAAAAAATA